GTTAAGGCAGGTGAACTTAATAATTTTCATAAGCTATAGTTTATATTTTGAATAAGAGGATATTGTTGGTGAATATTTTGTTGAATTATAGTTTGAACAATTTGGCGTTGAAATGTTTGGCCATGAAAATCCGACTTCTGATATTGAAGTAATTGAAATGGCTTGGACATTTTTAAATAAAGTAGGCATTAATCCGTCATTTGAGGTAATAATTTTTTTTTTTTTTATTAATTTACGATTTTTTAAATCCATTAAATAATTCAGTATGATAATATTTCCTTAGTTAGAAATTAATTCATTAGCCGATATGGAATCTCGAACGAGTTATCGTGAGGTTGTAAGAGATTATTTACGCAAAAATGAATCACGTCTTTCTGCAGACAGCGTAAAAAGGTATAAATATATTTTTTTTCCTCTTTACCAGACATTTATATTTTCTAGTTTAAAATGATTAGACATTTATATTTTTTAATTAACAATAAATGTTTCTCATTTTTAAAAAAAGAATATCAACAAATCCTTTGCGCGTTCTAGATTCAAAAAGCCCAGAAGACGTGCCAATAATTCAGAATTGTCCATTAATCACAGAGTTTTATAATACAAAATCCGCCGAAAGATTTAACGCTGTATGTCAAGGACTTCAAAAATTAAGCATACCTTACAAAGTTAATCCTCGACTAGTTAGAGGATTGGATTATTATGAGGATACTATATTTGAATTTAAATGTACCGACTCTAGACTTGGTGTTTCTCAAGGAACAGTGCTCGCAGGTGGAAGATATGATAGTCTTGTTCAGTTAATGGGTGGAAAAGAAAAAGTTCCGGGAATAGGGTACGTACTATATTTATTCTTAATTCACTTTTTTTTCATTTATTTTATTGATTTGTTTATTTATAAATAGATGGGCTGCAGGAGTAAATAGACTAGCCACTATATTACGTGATGATAGTATTGTTCCACGGGAAAGGCCAATTGCAGTTGTCATTATTCAAGATCGTGATGAAGTTATTTTATCAACAAATAATTGTAGATTAAGTAATAATATGATGCTTTATTGCTATGGTCTTAAAATATCTAACTTGTTACGTACACATAATATTAAAACATCTTTTTATCACACACCGAATGTACATCATTTATCATTGAAAACCATATTGGCAAACGTTGTAAAAACAAATGCTTCTCATGCAATTTTGGTAGGTGAAAATGAAATTATGAAAGATAAAGTGATATTAAAGGATTTAGATTTAAAAGTTCAGAATGAATATAGATTAGAGGATATTGTACAAATTGTTTTAAAATCTAGAGTAATAAAGGATAACTAAACTTTTTGAATCAATTTCTAATATGAAATGCTTAACATCCCATCCAAGGATTATTATTTAAAAATTGGGTTAATAAAATGCATCTAAATATCTAATAATAATATAAAGAAAATTTTGGGTCATTGCTATCTGTAAAAAGAACAAAAAAATTTCCATTATAAAAAAACCATTATATAAGATTAAATGCAAAATTATTACGTATTTTCATTCGAATATCTTTCAACGTACCTACTCTTTGATCCAATCTAATTAAATAATCTATATATTAAACTTAACCACAAAATAATAAGTTTTTTTAAAAAAAATAAAGAAAAAGGTTTTATTCAGATCAAAACAATGTATAAATCTTCAAAGAAAACATACAATACAAAGAAAATAAAGAAACTAAAGAAAAAAAAAAGCATAACTGCATTGCCATATTAAACCTCTGTTTTAAAGTCACAATCCCAGGACTTATCAAAAGAGAAGACCTAGTGTATATGAAGATTAACTTCTGTGTGTGTATATAAGAAATGTCAATCTAATTTATCTAATTATTGATAAGGAATCAGCATATATGCACGAGGTGCGTAAGAAACTATAATTATAAAAACTATTCACATTAGGTCATAGATAAGGGATCATCAACGGATCATAATTATCTTTAGATTGCAAAAAGTCTTGAAGCTTTTTTTAATTCAAATAAGAAGCAATTAAGAAAGCATGCTCATATTTATTCGTCAAATGACGTCAGTAAGAAGCTGCTTTTCCAGAATATATTTCCCCTCTTTATAACGCTGACTTTGTTCATATGCTCTCTCCTACAAATAATATGCAAAAATTACTATTTAATCTTTCCATTTAAGAATTTAAAAGTTATGATCAATTAATTTACTACTTACATATTTCCATCCTAATACAGATCTACAACGGGAACAATAAATATCTTTTACAGTATGAAGACCTGTAGTCATATGACGATCCTCAGACGGACCTTCTTCCACATTAACCCTATCAAAAAAATATATATATTAACAACTCATTTACTAATTAAGAATAAAAATATGATTATTTTTAAGGATAAAATAGTTACACTGTATCGAAAAGGTAAGCACGTCCATGCTGTCCCTGAAAAGCCTGCGATAAGAAGCAAATTATATAATTTTTGAAATAGGTATGAAAATCCAAACCTGCCAAATTATTTAAAAAAAGTGCAAGACCTTTGAAATAATACTGTCGGTCGTAGAAAGGTGAGTTCGACATTTATTACAACCAAAAATTCGAGTACCGTTAAGATAGGTACGATATGTAAGGCCCATTGCTGTGGTCGTCAAAGCTGTCTTCTAGGTATACTGTTATATAATAAAGATCCTTATTTTTTTTATTTTTTGAAAATATTTACTAGAGAAGAAAAAAAGCAGAAATAAAAACTATTTTATGATTCTCAATAGAGAAAGAACTCTAAGTTTATCTAGTAGCATTTGATTGTGACAAAGAAATTCCTTTACTATTTATATATTTGATTCACTGACACACTAATTGATTGGCTGCTTCGTGTTTCTCAACCCTGTCTCGATGGTTCATTTTTAAATATCACATGATTGATCATGGCTTCACCATTTATGCAATCGTCTATATTTACTAGTTTTGTGTCCACGCGCGTTTTCTGAATATAACCATTCTTGGTTCAATAACGACTATCTATTTAAATTTGAAAATCTAGACTAGAATAACCGCTAGTGGTAACATATAAAATTAATAACTAAAAAAAAAATCCTATTTCATTTACTTTAGGGTTAGGGCGAGGCCTGGAATTTTATCTAGACACTAGTACATGCAAAATTTAGCAAAGAATTTTTTTTGTTAAAACATCGAAGGTGGTTTCATAAACGAATTTTTGAGATATGAGCTTTTTTTAAAAAAAATCTTTATTTTAAATTGATTTTGCATGTTATGTTTGATCCTACAAATTTATTGGCTAATTTTATACTAGTGATATGATTACTAGTAGCGATAAATAGCAAACTTTTAAAAAAAAACTAGTTTTTTTTTTTACTAAGCTTTAAAAAACAAATTAATATAATTTTTTAAAATTTTTTAATTTAATTTTTTTTTTTTTTTTGATATTAAGATGAGTATTCAGCTCAACTTTTGTTTATTTTTTTTTTCTTTTGATAGTCATGTTTTATATATTTATTAGATAAAGAGTTTACAGATAGCTAGTCTATATAAGATTTAACTTAAACAAGAATCTATAGTTCTTCTTTATATATCTAATTTTTTAATAGAAAGTATTACTTGACATTCTATTTGCATATATATTTAAATGTAACCTGTCATACTAAAAACCTTTTTAATATAAAAAAAAAAAAGAAGTTTAAACAATTTTGTTTGATTGTCTAAGAAAATAAATATTGATAAAAGTATAATAAAATTATTATATATAGTAAAAAATAAGATTATATACTATATATAATATTCAAGAAAAACTTGTTAACAAGTTAAAAACCTAACTAGTTAAAAGAAAAAAAATAAAACAAAAACAAAAAACAAAACAAAAAAAATAAAAATGTTTTGTAAAAATTATAATCTAAATATATAATCCTATTCAAAATTCGAATTAAAAAACTCTCTCCGTAGATCATCTGGTTACAAAATTGAGCTAAAGGTTAACATATAGATAAACTACTAAACTCACTAATTAACACCCTTTAGTGTATTAAGAAAAGAGATACAAAAAGTAAAATTACATATAAAGAAGTAGAAAAATAGAAAAACTCGAACTTAAAAAGTGACCTAGAAGAGATATTATCAAAAACTTACTACGAAAAAATTTTTTTGCAAACAAAACTGGAAATCCCAAGACACTCTGAAATGCAGATCAATTATATAATATAAGCATATGCAAACCAGGTAAACAAACAAACATGTTATTGAATTATGTGTCATATGTTAAAAAGCAGAGACAAATCACGCAAGACCAGAACTAGACAGTTCATAGGCAATTTGAGTAAACCTACGGAAATTCTGAAAAAAGGCGAAGTCACTTCTAGAAACAGAATTTAAAGAACCTGAACAAAAGAGTAACCACTAAATAAAGTATAGAGTATAGATATGGCTAATAACTATATATTGAAATAGGCAGACATGTGGAACAGAAAGAAAGCAATCAGACTTATAGAAGTAGTAACTAAAGAATACGGTAAAGAAATAATAGCAAAAGGTAGCAGATCAGTAATGGGTCTAGAAGATCATATAGATAAAATGATAGCAGAAATATTAGAAGTAGATAGTAGCATAGTAATAGTAGCTAGAGAATGGAGAAAAGTCATAGAAAGAGCAGCAATGACTGAAGGAATTGATAGAGTAAAGAGTATACTAGGTCAAGAAGTAAACTACATAGCAGTAGCAAATAATGAATTAAGAGTACAAGAAAGTAAATCAGATATAGAGATAATATATCGATCAGATACAAGTAGTACAGAAAGTAATATAACAAATATAAAAATGGAAGTAGAGAGAATCCAACTACCAGAAAACAGTAAAAGCGAAGAACCACTAAACCAAATGGAAGAAGTTCAAGAGACTAAAGAAGAAGAAATCAGTATAATGAATACAGAACAACAGTATACTACTTCAGAAGAATCAGAAGATGATGTTCTTCCTACAGAATCAGATTCATCACTAGAAAGAAGTATCTGGGCACCAAACAAAGATAGATGTAAAAGAAAAGGAACAATAAGAGCTAAAGTAGCAGCTATTAAAGTCTTAGGAAATAACGAGAAACATAGAGAAA